CCAATATCAGATTTGTTGACGATTTGTCACTAAAATTATTTTCTCGTCGAAGATCTGCACCATCTTCAATACCTGATGCGCGGCAGAAGCAGAGAAAAAATAAACTGCCAGTGCAAAACACGGATCACTAATGAACACTTCTCCCATCAGATCGGCCGGTAGTTAAGATGGGATGTCGAAAGTAGCGCGTTGATGCAATGTCAAGGCGCCATCGCGCCTTCAATTTTTCAGATGCAACACGAACATTCATCGAGCACGAATGGTTGTATCTCTGCGCCGTCATCGACGTAATTTCCCGTGCTCTATTTTCATTTTGTGTCAGTTCCGTCTGTCTTATTTGTAGTGGAGCTTCATGGGCTACGTAAGTAACACGGCCGAGTACAGGTACGATGTTATCTGACCTCGTTTCTTATCTTTTCTCCCGAATCTGAGCGACACATCACTAGCAGCATATAGCGGAGCATTGCAATTTCACACCTCACGCCATTGCGCCGTCAATTTCACAGATGCAACACGGGTATCCATCAATTACGAATAGTTGTTTCTCTGTCCCGTCATCAAAGCGCGTTGAGGTGTTTCCTCTTTTGAGACTTTAGAAAATTTAAGGTAAATTTTGCTCAAAATATGCTAAAGTGTGTCCCTTATTTTAGAAAAAAGGAAGAAAAATAAGTAAATGCATGTTTGTACGTCTCTCAAGTGCCCTACAGGGAGCACGTTTGAAAATTAATATTTTGTCGAAAGTTGTGTTTTGCCAGGGAATTTTTTCTTAACAAAAACCCTTAGAGATCTCTAGCCGGGTCAAATTTACCTAACCACCCCATCTGGGGAAGTTACTCATAGCGGGTTATGAGAGAGTGGTGAGAGAACCTCAGTTTGTTACCATAAAAGTGAAAATTCTGAAAAGAAGTATTTTCTACCATCGAAAACAAAGAAGTGACATAAATAATGCTTCGAAACCCATCAAAATCAATGTATTGAAATAGGGTCAATTTTACCCGACTTGACACGCAGCTTATAAAAGAGGTTTTGGGCATCTACAAGTAGAATACTTCGAAATCTTCAATCATGAACGTTTTTTTATTCTGCCTATTCCCTCCTACATACCACCAGGGAGATCCAACCGAATGTAATTTCATGTCTGTATTTTCCCCCATCGCCAAAAGTTGAGGAGATTCTCAACTTGAATCTGATGATTGATTGACAGAGGCGTGTAATATGGAATTTCACGGACCATTGGAGAGTGGATAGGTAATGTACTGTGAAGACCTTTCGTCCTATGATGGGCAAAGACCGGATAAAAATTTCATCAAGAATAACCCTTGGTCAACGGTTGGATTTTTTTCCTTTTTTATCGCTCCTCCATCCGTTCCCTTTTGTTTTTCTTCAGGGTGAGAAATATAGTTCAGTTTATGCGAAGTAAAAATAAGTAAGTCTTTTGAAAATGACCAATGTCTGGCGAACAACAGGCCAAAAAGAAAATGAAAAACGGAAAATGAACGAATTTGGGGCGTTGAATGCAGAAAAGGCATTTCTTGGTTGCGGTGTTTCAGAATCTCCACCGATAATTTATATTTTAGAGAAGGAAATGTCGGGTGAGTTTTCCGAAATTTTTAGTTTTCAGTGTTGAAAAATGTTGAAAAAAATTCAGTAAAAATTTTCAACGAAGCCTTTGCATTTGGGTTAATGGACAACTAGACAAAGTACGAATTTCAGCATTCTGATACATGTTTCGTATTTCACGCAGAATACGATGCGCACAACAAAAATTACCGCAATTAATTCCTTACGAAGGTATTTAATGATTCTTGATGCGTGAATTCAAACCACGCGTTAATGAAAACTCAATGCTCTATGTTATTCATATCGCTCATGCTCAACGTTATCATGACAGTCTCTGCGATATAAAAATATGGCAACCTCAATCTTGACGCTTTGGCTCAGCTATAGCAAATTGCTAATAGTTTGAACAACCCATGGTGGGAAATGAACATTGCTCGATTGAGAGGCTTGCTGAAACCGTTGTAGTGCGCGATTTGACTCACGTAAAGCTTTGAGTTTCTTGTGAGCGGGCAGTTCAAATTCCTCGTAACCAGTGTGAAATAAAAAAGTTAATATATTCGTTAGGAGTTAGTTTCAGTCATTTTCGTTGCGCGAATCGTGTTTTGCGTGAAATTCTGGTTAAGTAGCATGTAGCAGAATGATTAAATTCGTACTTTGTCTAGTGGTCCATTATGTTAGATGAGACGTTAACGGAGATTCTAAGACACCGCAACCAAGAAATGCCCTTTTTGCACCCAGCGCTTCAATCATGCTAAAAAGAAGAAGAGACGGGTGGGAAAGATGGGGTGTGCTCGTATGAGCTGGCATAAGAAACAATGTAAAAGTGGGCGTGATTCCTTCTGGGAAACTGGCAAAAGCGGGATTTTACATTTTATCAAAAAGAACTAAGCGCTTGCACGCGGCACTCATGAGCCGTCGGCGTGTGACCAGAGCGTTGTGGACAGGGCTCATGAGTTAATGCGGCAACATTGAGCTCATCTGGCCCGGGCATCTCCGCTGACGTCACTAGCACTTCATAATTCCCATTCATTCTTGCGGCCCTTAACTAACGAGCACACTTCTTCTTCCCGCCCGCCTCTGGTTCTTTTTAGCATAAATACGTCAAAATAAAATAACGTCAGGCAAACAAAACTAAAGGAAAATAATGAATGAAAATGGAAAATGGCAAAATGGAATGATGTTGGCTTGCTTTCTTTCAAAAAAATAAATTGATAGCGGAGATTTTAAAACACCGCTAACGAGATACATGGTTTGGGAGTTTCATTATCCATATTGTGCCTAAAATGAGCAAGAAATACTACTTCCTTTTTTGCGAAATGTAGTTCATTTACGACGCTGGCCGCACGAAGAACCTTGAAGGCACCATGCTAAAACTACCAAATCAATATCAACCGAAATGCATACCCTTGCATCACCTCCCTACCCTTTAAACAAGAGCAACAGTCGCCAAAATGCGTGTATACTTAATCGCTTAAGTGGCACGCTTTGATGCATGTGCGGTGGCGATACTCGGAGACATTTAGAGCTCACGTACTAAGCCGGTCGGATCGGCCAAGCGGTCATCTCGCCTGAATACTGCCGTGTTACGGAAAAGAACCGTAAATGCATCTTTGTGGTGAGCCATGGTTACGACATGCTCTAATGCAACTCGAGGCTTATCCTAAACTGCACTTACGGCTCTCCTCTGTAGTACTGCAGAATAGGCCAGTTAATATGCTTAAGGTTCCGAATCTTTGCAAAAGCGGCACAGAGCTAATGAGTGGATTTGCTGAAACTGAATTCATTAGGCTTTAATCTGTAGGACTTTAGAACGCTTAGAGCCCGATGTATATACAGCCTCTAAGTCCTCTGTTCTTATCCACGTTTAGTACCTCTTACGTAAAATTGGTTATAGGATTAAAAACAATAGGAGTAGAATTGAGTTTAAACGTTAAAAGTAAGTAAGTATCAAAGCATCTGAGAATGTATTGCTGCTGGTTTCGGTAAATTGAATAAGAAAATCTTGCATATCTACGGCTCCGCAGTAATCCCCAATGTTTTAAAAAGTATATTTTCAACACTCATTTGCATTGATACCATAAAATTGACAGAGATGATCAAAAATAAAACATTCCTTCGTTTCGGTGCGTAGCGTTAAGACACCGTTATTCAATATTTAATTTTCATACTTACATACCTTTGGAATCATTATGACTTCTCGATAGAATTATCTAATATGGGAGAATATCAATATACACTTGAAAAAGATCTGGACTTTAATGGCCGAAGTACTCCCAATGACAGCACTGATAGCATGTAAAATGGGTCATTCAGTGATATTTTTCAAAATGTACCCTAAAAATTTTCTCGCGTGGTTTGTTCGATTGACAAATCATTATCTACGACATTTAACATCTGAAACATTTGGAAATCATCTCTTGCGATACGCATGCAAAAAAGAAGATGAAGAATAAAGAACAGGGGGAGGAGAAGGAGGAGGAAAAAAGAAACCGACGGAGAGGGAAAAGAATGAAAGGATGATTCAGAAGAAAACAATTTTCTGTAGAGAAGCAATGACAAGCATAGAACTTTTTTCTAATGTCTCATCTCTCATTCATACTTCCATTGGAAATTTTGGAGATCCAGAAGTAGGAGCATACAATCCTTGGCAAGAAGTACACTTAAAGTACATAAGTTAACTGTAAGTTTAGTGAACTTTCGATGAAGCACATACTGGCGGTTCGATTTTGATGCAATTCGAAAAATGCAACCTATAACGCAAATGTGTGAGGTATTAAGCTGTCCTAAATCTCCAAAGAGTTCTCTGGTTTCCACCGTTTTCATACTTCCTAAGTGTACGTGATCTGAGCTGCCGAAAGAGAGATGAAATTTTGTTTCGCGTCTTTTTTTTGCTGAATAACGCTCGTTATCTTGTCTTCATAGCTCGTATACTCTCTGAAATTCTGAAGGAACGTAAAATTTGACCAAGCTGCATGCGCGCGGGATACGTGAGCCCCCATCTTCGAGTGCTTGAGTTTTTTTTTCTCAACCCCTAATAGCATTGACCATTAAAAAAGAGTTAAATAAAAAGTTCTGTTAAAAAAACTGTTAAAAAAATAGAGTTAGGAAATCCGTTTTGTTTTTTTAAAGCGAAAATATCATATTTTACTTTAGCATGCTTTAATCACTAAATTTTAGACGACTTCAAAAATTTTACATACATTTTGACTTATGAATGTTCATGTTTCGCACCTCACTTTGTATGCACATCAAGAGAAGCTATTTTTAGAATTATGAAAATTTTATCGTCATTTTTCCCCCGATGTAAATTGTACGTGAATATACCTAAGAAAATTCACTTCATTTTAACTTTTTTTAAGTCAAAATTTAACGGTCAACGCTACTACGCACATAAAATCCATACCCTGAAAAGTAATTTCGAACCAGAAAGTAGTGCTTACAATAGAGAAGCTGTCGAAACGGTAATCCAAAACGATCGAAATTCCGATCAGCAGGAACGGACCTTCAGAATCGGAACTGCTTACACACGTTCAAATACTACTCATTTTTTTTTCTTCGCATCTTCTTTTTCCAAATTATATTTTTTTTTTAAAAAAAATCTCCTCTCGGAACGTTCAAAGCCGATTCCTGGCTCCGCGCAGTCTTACTCGCGTATAGTACTACGCAACCCGTACGCCATGATCGGAAGAAACGCGAGAATGGGGACCGCGCGAGGGAGAGAAGGGTGGTCGCCCCTTGGAAGAGAGAACCCGCGGACTGACTGCCTTCCCTCACTTCGCCGTCGTGCTGGTGCGGGGCGAGTCCACGCAGGCGACACGAACCCCCCTACCCCCGGCGTCACGAGCACACATTTCGCAACTTCGGAGCTCGGTGAAAAATACGCTGCTCTATTGACACGAGCTCGAGGTGTTATTCGATTCGCGGTGCGACGATGTCGAATGCAGAGGATGCGGTTTTAAGCGATGCGAGTCGTTGTCTTCGATCCCGGCATCCCATCGCGGTGATGTATGGCGCTTCTACGAGACGATAAAAATATGCTGTTTCAATTTCTTCGGTTCTGAGCTGTTAGGTATGCTGCGTGCGCTGAGGATACCTACACTGGAAAAAAAACACATTGTATCTGGAGTTCAGACTCTTGAAAACATTGACAAGAAGAAATACTCGTGATTCGATCAGATTTAAGCTTAAATCAAAAGGAAATCCGCACTAATTAAGAGGCTTGGTTCTTGATTTAAGAAAAAACCCGATTGAATCGAGAGTATTTTTTCTTGTCGACGTTTTTAAGAGTCTGGCCTCTAGATCCAATGTGTTTTTTTTTTTTTTTTTTTTTTTTTTTTTTCCAGTGTATGACCCCTGGTGATACCTTCGACTTAAGTACCTATGTTGTCGTCTTCCGGCTAAAATATCACAAGCGACTTGCGACGTTTAAAAATTTCCGCCATCATTAAAAAATATATTTTTTACAAAGAGCTGAATCAAATTTTTGAGAAAAGTGACTTATGAACGATTATAAGACCAACAAGCGCATTAAGTCCTCAAGCAGAGCAAATCAAAGCCCACGGAATAAGTTTTGATACTTCAAACATGGACTGAAAATTATTTTTTTGCAATGCCCGTGATACACTGATACAGTAATACAATTTTCAATTTCTTCATTTCTGTCAGAACTTAATAACTCGAATCACCACCTTCCGCCTAAAATATCACAAGCGACATGCGACGTTTAAAAATCTCATTTTTTTTTCAGACATTTTTTTCAGTAAAACTGTTCAACGAAGTTATCCGAAAATTCCACTGAATTTTCTTTGTGTTGCCGATTAAATTCAGCAAAATTTTCGAACATATTCGACCTACAATTTCTCTATGAAAAAAATAAAATGTCGGTGGAAATTTTGAAACATCGCATGACGCGTGTGATACTTTGGCTAGAAAGTGACGGTATAAGGAGAGTACGGGTATGTTAGTAATTTTGGGGTTGGGTCATGGAGCTTTTGATGGTGTGTGTTGGTAACCTTTTTATTCCTCTTTGAGCTTAGGGTATGTAAACAAGACATAATAAGAGTTTTGCCGTTTAATCGTTCCCTTTTTTACGCCCAAAATAGCCGGCGGTGAGCGGTATTAAGCCGAGTTAAGGTTTAGTTGGGTCACGCAACTAAACTAACTTCACGATGAAGCTTAGGGTATCAAGCGAAATTGAAGGCGCTTTGCTGCGTTCTAGCAGATCAGTTCTACAACTTGAAGCAAGAATGGGGCAATAGACAAGGTAAGAATGTGAGCATTCCGATACATGTTTCTTGACCAAAATTTCATGTGGAACACGATTTGCAAAATGAAAATTACTGACATTAACTTCTAACTAAGATATTAACGTTTTTTTATGCATAAACTCAAACTGCTCGCTCAAAGAAAAACAACAATTTACTTGAGTTATATTGCACACTAAATCTTCATGTAACAAGGGGAACATAATACATAATATGTACGTAATGTATCATATCATACATAATGTAACATATTAAAAAAGGAAAAAAAGAGCTGCATGCACATTTTGGCAAAGTTGACGATGGAGCAGAGAGTCCGCGAAAACTAACTGGCAAAAAATCAGTGCTTTCAAAGCACTTTTCTAGATCATGTCCAAAAAATTGAGTACCTTCTTATCAGGAAAATTCCATTTTTTCTCAGTAACTTCAAGGGGAAAAATTCTAAAAACTTGTTAATCGAAACAAAAATGACGTAACCATGAGGATCGAAAATCCACAATGACCAATAGGGGGCAAATACTGCACTAGGAATTAATACACCAGGGATTGTATACTTCCCAGTCTCTCTCACAAAAGAACATGGCCTCATTTCAAATTTCTCCGCGCAAATTGGACCTTAACCAGGAGAATTTCGGACATTTAAAATTGAAAATGTTCAAGATTTTTTTCCTGATCTCGTGCAAAAATCAGTCAAAAATTCAACAAGTATTGCATTCTTGTAAAAAATTGAATCGCTTGAGTCAATTTTGCAGCCTCGGAATCGAGTTACGTTCAGTGGTGTGGCGTGTTTTGCGATGTATCGATTGATTTGTCATTTAAACCTATGGATGAGGATCGATTAACAGGGTGTTTGCAACTTAATAATCGATATTTTACAATAAATTCAAATGGGTAATAATCGATTATCGATTATTCACGCCTCGCTACTGGTTACGGTTCATCCGGGAAACGACGACATCGCAAGCTATCTTAGAAAGCACGGATGGCAAGAAGTATAAATTGGACGTATTTTTGCTAAAAGGAACTATGTTGCTCGTAAACCCTATGCACATAGTTCATTTTAGCATAAATACGTCCAATTCCCCGACCTTCTTACGGATTTTCCGTACTTTTTCAGCACTCCCGGACCGCCTTATAATAAACAGTAATTTCAGAATTTTCCGGACCTAAAGACATCCTGCGAAACTTTCATTTTGACAAGAAATAACATGCGCATTTTCACAATGTGCGACAAAACTTCCAAAAAACCTGTATCGAATTCCCAGGAAACACGACAGAGCGATAAACAGAAATGTGCCTTTTATATAAGTCCACCGAAGCCACTTTGATCCCGGAGGTCGGTTAAGAAAGACATCATATATTAGTCACAAAGCCCATGTGTTGCGTTCCATCTCCTCTCACGGCACCACGTGCTTCGCCCACTAAAATGGTAGACTTCAGAGCAATTCCCTTTCATTTGCATTACCGCGGTTAATTGATAATCGATGAGCATCAAAGTGGCTTTGGGCCGTTTCATCCGGCCCGGAGCAGGGCGCAACAACACTCGAGCGGTTGTCCTTTGATTTATTTCTCACAGGAGTGTTTTAACTCGACATTTTGTTCGGAAACTAGTATCGAGTGTCCGGTTCTGCCGTGCTCAGGAAGAACGCCGTATGAACATTCGAGAGATGCCAAATTTCCTTCGATAAATGATTATTTTTAGGGAAAAATATGAATATTTTTCCTTCAAATGTTCAGGAACTATAGGTGAAATTACGAAGAAAAATATCTGAAAAATTGGAAGAAAAATATTCATAAGTTTACCAAGAAATTTGTGTTTTAACAAAGGAAATTTTGCAACGCCTGGAGGTTTATACGACGTTTTTCCTTTGCACTGCAGTATTGGTATCCTATCAATTCCATCATATCGACGGTGATCCTCTCAAACCACATATCAGTGAGAACAAAAACACACCAACTCGGTACCTCGAAAATGCTCACATTTCACTAGCGACAGAAAATTTTCATAAAAGTCATTGAGGTTACCATATCTGTTCCAACTTGAACACTTAAAGTTTTCTTAAGTACTTGCTTTTAGGCACCAAAAATATTTTTCTTAGACTAACTTCTTCACTTAATATGCAGTTTTGTGTGTGTGTCTTGATTATTTTCATTTTTTCGAGTTGGTGTCTTTTCGATCTCACTGATTCATATCTCGTGTGCAGTGCTTGAAAATCGCCACTCCTGTTTAATTTATTTAAAGGAGAAAAATCAACATCATTACTTGAAGCTTTCTCAGATTTTGCCTCGCACAGAGAAGAAAAATCATGGAAGTTTCTATGAATGGACGAGTTCTCCGTTTATAAAATAAAGTACATCAGGAAGTCTGCTACGCCACAAATACATTCAAATACTACATTCTCCCCCATTTAATGTCAATTTTGTATTAATTTCCGATGCGCTCATCGTGATTTTTGAGCAATACCCCCTAAGAAGTAACTCTTCTTATTTCTCTGACTGAAGTTTGTAACAGGTCCATTACACGGTTGTTTTCAATTCGCCTTCAGCTCCGTCTGCAGCAATTGACGTTGCGAGTATGTTGTGCGTGCTGATTTCAACTCATTACATATGTTACTCTTTGAAGGCGTTTTATGTGCGCAAGTAGCGCACCCTGTTGGAGTTCAATAGAAGTAGAGATCGAATGAATCGCTCAATCCTTACTTCGTTCGTTCTCCAGTAGAGTGCGCCACCTGGACACATAAAACGCCTTCAAAGAGTCGAGTATGTAATGGACTAAAATCAGCACGCACAACATGTTCGTAACAACAATTGCTGCAAGCTCAATTGAAGGCGAATTATAACAACCGAATAATTCACGTTGAGAAACATTCAAACGAAATTTGTTCTATGAAGTTAGGAATGCATTTCAGACGAAATAACTTCACCCCCTTTCGAAATGTTCATCTGTGCCGTAGTATCGTTTTTGAAGTGGAAAGCTCGAAAATCGCAGATTTCATGCGCGGATTGTGAAGTTAGGAGTGAATTTTAGACTCAGCAAACACGCTCATCGTGATTTTTGATCCATTTTCCAAGAGAAATAACTCTACTTTCTGCTCAAGCTGAGGAAGAATAGGCCCTTTTCAAAGCTGCATCCGTTTAAATTCGTATTTTAGCAATAAATCACATTAACATGGTCAATTTCTAGGTGGCTCATGACTTCAAAGGCACGATCTGAGGTTGGAGCGCCTTTAAATCTTGGCGATACTCTCCAGTTTGCTAGACAGTTAGTTTAGTTGCCTATCCGAGCCAGACTCAAATAAGGCCACGGGTATGCTCCTCGGGGTGGACACCTAGGATGAGACGGAAAGAAGGGGTAGTGACCTGCCCCAAAAAATAAACAGGGAGAGGGAGGAGGGCTTTCGCTGGAAACAATGGCTCGATAAAAATAAAACGTGCAGCAACACTGCCGTGCTAAGGAAGAACGCAGTATGAACATTCAAGAG